TTTAAAAATTACAGATAAATATGATTTGACAGAGAATAATTGAAGATTATTTTCTCCCCAATTTATGAGTCACCATATGGACCCTTCAAAAGTTCATGCCCTCACCGGTAATAAACAATTTCCTATTCTGCTTTACAATATTGTAGGTATTAATGATGTTGTCAACAGCCACTGCAGGAGAAATTCAGACCCCTAAAATCAACTGTTGGCAGATAAAATGCTCTTCAATTTTGGATTGCAGGGTATTTAGAGGCTATTTTAAGTCTACCCATGTGCTGTTAAATTATCTAGACTACCAAATATTTTTAAATGTAATTATCTATTTTATAAAAAGCATTTTAATTCAACTTTTAAATTAATAACATCAGTGTAAAGAGCAATAAGGGAGAATAATATTTACGATGAACAGTCATATTTCTCTTGACTTTTCCATACCAGCACACATGATTTCTCGCTATTCTTGTATAAAAAAACCACACACTTCACATAAATGAGACTTTTCCAAGAACCCATCCCCTGCCGGTTGGTAAGGCCAATGTTTAAGTCCAGAGCATATTGTTCAGAAGCTGTTGCACAATATGGATTAGAAACGGGAAGAGCTTAAGTACCATTTATTCTCCCATTACATAGGGGAAAACTGCTTTGTTTATTTAGAAAAATAATACACACACACTCACACCGTTCTGGCCTTGATTCAGGAAAGCATCCTTGTTCAGGTTAATACTTTAGCACATGCTTCAAATTATGCACATACTTAAACCCCAAATGAAATATAAACATGCCTTCAAGTTAACAGTTAAGCACTTAAGTGCTTCTTGAATAAGGAGGAATTTAAGCATCTCCTTAAGGGCTTTCTTGAAATGGGGCCGCAGCTTGTAAGTTGTATCCCTGTTCCCCCCTATCTTTGTCTGTTTTTGTCTTCATGGACAGTAAACTCTTCAGGGTAGGTGCTGTGTCTTTGTACAGCACCTCACACAATGGGGCCCCAGTTCTGACTGCGGTCTTTGGGTACTACTAAAACACAATAACAAAAATACTTGTAATAATACTATAATAGGACAGTAAACTTGAGAATATACCAAAGGGAATAATCTAGCACTGGGCCCCAGGAAATGGGTTAAATATAATATATAAAGCTGGTTGAAATTTTTTTTTTCAATTTTTTTCAATGACTTTTCATCAATAGCTTTTTTTATGAAATGGCTTTTTCATCAAAAGGAGAAATTTCAGTTGGAAATATCTACTTTTAATTATAATTTTTCAGACTTATAATTTAAAAAAATCAAAAACTGAAAAATGTTGTCTGAACAAACAACATTTCAATGAAACTAAACATTTTGCCTTGCAATAATTTTTTTTCATGGGGGGAGGGGTGCGTTTGGTTGCTGAAACTGAAAACACATCTCTCTCTCTCTCTCTCTCTCTCTTTGTAATGGAAACCCAAAAAATGTGGCAGAAAATCTTTTACAAAAACAAAATTTTTTGTTTTCCTGAATTTGTTTACAGGAAAAAGAAATTCCAGAGTATCTTTTCTAACAGGTCTTTTCCATCTCTAACTTTTGGGATCCTATATTCACATTCCAGAGATTATGAGTTTAGAGCAGGTGCAAAGACACAGCAGGACAATATCTAGCTAATTACAATAATGTTTTAGAGTGGTATCCGTGTTAGTCTGTATCAACAAAAAAACCGAGGAGTACTTGTGGCACCTTAGAGACTAACTCTAACTGTCGTCATCATGAATAGGTCAGAATATGAACAAGAGGCTGCTAGGCAGCTCTCTAACATCACATTCTACAAGTCATTACCCTCTGATCCCCCTGAGGGTTACCAAAAGAAACTACACCATCTGCTCAAGAAACTCCCTGAAAAAGCACAGCAACAAATCTGCACAGACACACCCCTAGAACCCTGACCAGGGTATTCTATCTACTACCCAAAATCCATAAATCTAGGAATCCTGGACGCCCCATCATCTCAGGCATTGGCACCCTGACAGCAGGATTGTCTGGCTATGTAGACTCTCTCCTCAGGCCCTATACTACCAGCACTCCCAGCAGGGGTGAAAGTAACTTAAAGGACTTACCGGTACGCCGGAGTCCTGAGCAGGGGCGTGACCTCAACTGGAAGAGGCCTGGCCTCAAGCGGAATAGGTGGGACTTTTCAATATTAAAAGGCCCTGGGGCTCCGGCTGTGGCTGGGAGCCCCAGGGCCTTTAAATCACCCTGGAGCTACCAGCTGCAGAGGCGGCTAGGAGCCCCGGGGCTCAGGGGCGAATTAAAGGGCACAGGGCTCTGACCGCTGCGGAGCTCTGGGCCCTTTAAATCACCCTGCCACCGCTAACCTGGGGCGGCAGGGCTCCAGCGGTGATTTAAAGGGCCTGGGGCTCCGGCCGCTGAGGGGAGCCCCGGGCCCTTTAAAGTGCCACCCGAGCCCCACTGCCAGAGCTCCGGCAGTGGCTGGAGCCCTGGGCCCTTTAAATCACCGCCGGGGAAGACAGTCCAGTCTGGCACGGCGTACCGGCTCTTGCCGGTATGCCGTACCAGACCGTACCGGCTTACTTTCACCTCTGACTCTCAGCTATCTTCGAGACACCACTGACTTCCTGAGGAAACTATAATCCATTGGTGATCTTCCAGAAAACACGATCCTGGCCACTATGGATGTAGAAGCCCTCTACACCAACATTCCACACAAAGATGGACTACAAGCTGTCAGGAACAGTATCCCTGATAATGTCACAGCAAACCTGGTGGCTGAACTTTGTTACATTGTCCTCACCCACAACTATTTCACATTTTGGGACAATGTATACCTTCAAGTCAGCGGCACTGCTATGTGTACCCCCATGGTCCCACAGTATGCCAACATTTTTATGGCTGACTTAGAACAATGCTTCCTCAGCTCTTGTCCCCTAACACCCCTACTCTACATGCACTACATTGATGACATCTTTATCATCTGGATCCATGGAAAAGAAGCCCTTGAGGAATTCCACAATGATTTCAACAATTTCCATCCCACCATCAACCTCAGCCTGGACCAGTCAACACAAGAGATCCACTTCCTGGACACTACAGTGCTAATAAGTGATGGTCACATAATCACCGCCCTATACCGGAAACCTGCTGACCGCTATACTTACCTACATGCCTCCAGCTTTCATCCAGACTACCTCACATGATCCATTGTCTACAGCCAAGCTCTAAGATACAACCACATTTGCTCCAATCCCTCAGACAGAGAAAAACACCTACAAGATCTCTATCAAGCATTCTTAGAACTACAATACCCACCTGCTGAAGTGAAGAAACAGATTGACAGAGCAAGAAGAGTACCCAAAAGTCACCTACTACAGGACAAGCCCAACAAAGAAAGTAACAGAACGCCACTAGCCATCACTTTCAGCCCCCAACTAAAACCTCTCCAGCACATCATCAAGGATCTATAACCTATCTTGAAGGACGATTCCTCACTCTCACAGATCTTGGGAGACAGGTCAGTCCTCGCTTACAGACAGCACCCCAACCTGAAGCAAATACTCACCAGCAATCACACACCACACAACAAAAACACTAACCCAGGAACCTATCCTTGCAACAAGGCCCGTTGCCAACTCTGTCCACAAATCTATTCAAGGGACACCATCATAGGACCTAATCACATCAGCCACACCATCAGGGGCTCGTTCACCTGCACATCTACGATGTGATATATGTCATCATGTGCCAGCAATGCCCCTCTGCCATGTACATTGGCCAAACTGGACGGTCTCTACGCAAAAGAATAAATGGACACAAATAAGATGTCAAGAATTATAACATTCAAAAACCAGTTGGAGAACACTTCAACCTCCCTGGACACTCAATTACAGATAAAGTCGCAATTCTTCAACAAAAAAAACTTCAAAAACAGACTCCAATGAGAAACTGCAGAACTGGAATTAATTTGCAAACTGGACACCATTAAATTAGGCTTGAATAAAGATGGTAGTGGATGGGTCATTACACAAAGTAAAAACTATTTCCCCTTGCTAATTTCCCCCCCTACTGTTACTCACACCTTTTAGTTAACTGTTTGAAATGGGACATCCTGATTATCAATACAAAAGTTTTTTTTCCTCCGGCTGATAATAGCCCACCTTAATTGATTAGTCTCGTTAGAGTTGGTATGGCAACCCCCATCTTTTCATGTTCTCTGTATATATATATATCTTGCTACTGTATTTTCTACTCCATGCATCTGATGAAGTGGGTTTTAGCCCATGAAAGCTTATGCTTATGCCCAAATAAATTTGTTAGTCTCTAAGGTGCCAGAAATAATATTTTAAAAACTGATAAGCAGGAGGAAACTGCTAAAGGCAGTTCCTAGAAATTTTCATGTTCTCCAGTTTATTAGCATGATTTGTAGGAGATACTGTTCTGCTAAATTAAAAATACAGAGAATCATACTAGAATACCAAAAAAGGGAAACTAATATAATAGCAGTTTAAATGCTTTGTTCCTAAATGATGAGTGGGTTGGTGCTTCAAAATATTTTCCATAAATTAAATCCCGTGGCACCCATCTGTGCCCTAATGAATTCCTTGGTTGCTGATTAGGTTCAAGGCTCAGTACTTTCAGAAAGAAAAAGTTATGTTTGTTTTTCTGCTTTATTGTTCTGTGTTCTTTAAGATGAAAGAATCATAGAATATCAGGGTTGGAAGGGACCTCAGGAGGTCATCTAGTCCAACCCCCCTGCTCAAAGAAGGACCAATCCCCAAACAGATTTTTGCCCCAGATTCCTAAATGGCCCCCTCAAGGATTGAACTCCTAACTGTGGGTTTAGTAGACTAATGCTGAAACCACTGAGCTATCCCTCCCCCCAAAGAGGGAGCTTGTTAGGCCTGAGGGATTACCCCATATATTCCACGATTTTATACCTCCATCAAACAGTGCTCATTTGGAAATATTGTTGACTTCTGTTTAATTGGTGCCCTTCAGACTAATTACATATCTTACCTCTCACAATTAATTGGCTTTGGCGCTCCACAGCTGCAGCGTCATTTCTAGCTATACAGGTATAATTCCCATTGTGCATCAGTGAAAGATTAAAAATCCTTAAGGAGCTGGTGAAGTCAATGTTGTCAATAGTTACTCCAAGACTGGCTGGGATCGGCCTGCCATCCTTCTGCCAGGTGATTGTGATTGGCAAATCCCCTGAGACCACAACACATGGAACGAAGACTCGCTGTCCAATGGAGAACCTTGGAAACTCAAAAGGCTGGATGAAAGGTGGAACTGAAATGAAAAATTAAAAGAAAAAAGTTATTGCAAATATAGTATAATTATGGAAAACACTGATAATTGTTGAAAAGAAAACTATTCTCAGCCTGCCAGCTGGTATGTCGCATATGTAATAGTAATAAAAAATAGTAACTACATAGCAGTTTTTATCCAAGGATCTCAATATGATTTACATGAACTAAATAAGTTTTACAGCACCTCTATGATGTAGGCATTATTTCTTCCATCTAACAGATGGATAAACTGAGGTGACAAGACCTTCAGAGATACTGATCACCTACAATTCCAACTGAAGTCAATGGCACCTGTGAGTGCTCAGCACCTCTTAAAATCAGACCATTACATCCTGATCCAGCAAGTTGTGGTTCCTGAAACATTCTCAGTAAGGCCTCCCAGAAAACAAAACTTCCATTTTGCAAAAAATGTTGAGGTTTTAGCATTTGGTGGTGTTGTGCATTGGGACAAAAATTGAGACCTTTTAATTTTGTGTGAGAAAAATTAGAGCAAGAGAGAAACCCACCTCGGAATAGCCGAGGGTTAGAGCACTCCCCTGGGAGATGGGGGAGACCCACGTTCAAGTTCCTGCTCTGATTAAGAGCAGGGAATTAAACTTGTGGGGTCTGACATCCCAGAGGAGTATCCTAGCCACTGGACTACTGGCTATTCTATGGTGGATGGGTGTCTCTCCCTCTCTCTCAGTTCTATCCCTGACTTGAGAAACCTTCCCCACTAAAGTTTTATCAAAATCGATACCTTTCTGTGAAAAGTTTTGGTTCTGATGAAAAAATGTTTTGTTGAAAAATTCCTGCCCAGATCTAGTTCTGAGCACCCTAGACTCTCATGGAAATCAAGAGTGCTAAATATGCTCTGGGAAGATATTCAGCACCTTGCAGAATCAGGTCTTAGGCTGAGATCCTCAAGAGGTATTTAGGCACCTACTGCCAATTGATTTCAATGAGAGTTAAGTGCCTAAATACCTTTGAGGATTTAGGCCTTAGTGACTTTCTGACATCACAGAATAAGTCTGGAATAGAATTTCGTGTTCTAACCATTAGACAACTCTGCAAACAGTTACTCACAGCCACGTAATTATCCCTACTGTCTTCAAATGGGACTACTCAGATGCTTAAAGTTAAGCATATGCATAGGTATTTGCAAGATCAGAACCTTAGGGTGAAATTAATTTCTATGCACAAGGGCAGCAAAAGGTCTGTGCACCACTTCAGTCCCATGCAAGCCCTATTAAGAGACCTAGTTCAACACATCAGGTATTTATTAAGAAGGCTTAACTGGAATTAAACATTGTGCATGGGCCTTGTATCTGAGGGGAAAATGAAGCACTTTAGGTTTAATATGTCAAAGACTATGATTTGTGTCTACAAATTAATCAGAGAAATAATAAATATGTGAAGTTCTGATATTAACTTCACCCATTTGCACAAGCTCTTATAACAGAATCATGGGATAGATGTCAAGAGACCGAAGAAAAAATAATTTGAATTTGGAAGCCCTGCTGTTGTTGATAGCAGAAACATTCTTTCAGGTAGCAGTGACAGTCCATACTGATCCAGTAAATTATTCTCAGATGTTGGACATTGGAACAGTCCCAATTCCCATTCACGTTGATGACAAAAATGGCTATACACTAGAGTGTGGGTTAGGGTTCTTTGAATTGTTCTTTCTTCAACTTGTATTTTTGAGGTTGACATTTCCATAGTCGTGAAAATGGAGACAAAGAGGAACAAAGTACTGGCTTTCCCCCTTCCCCATTCAAAAATGTCAATTCAGAGGACCCTAAGAGTAGTATAGCTTGAAGTAAAGATGCTAATTTAGGAGTACAGGCTCACATGCAGAAAGTCACCTGACATTACTTGTCATGGCTTCCAAATCTAGCAAATATTTGATAGAGATTGCATTAAAGCCTGAAAGTAGGAGGGTCCGGCGGCAGGCAATCGATTTTCTGGGATCGACTTATCGCGTCTAGTGAAGACGCGATAAAATCGATCCCTGATCGCTCTGCCGTCGACTCCGGAAATCCACCGTGGCAAGAGGCGGCAGCGGAGTCGATGGCAGCGCGGCAGCGGTCGACTTTCCCCCGTCCTCACAGCCAGGTAAGTCGACCTAAAATACGCAACTTCAGCTACGGTATTCACGTAGCTGAAGTTGCGTATCTTAGGTCGGACCCCCGCTGTAGTGTAGACCTAGTGTTAGATACACTGTAATAGACATCAGCAAAGCAGTTCAGACTGAATAGGGAATGTTTTTATGTAATATCTGAAAATAATTCACACATCTATACTTCCAGTTTCTTGCTGGGATCAGAAGCAGGTGTATAGTCTGGGGCAATTTTTGGCTTAAGTACTCGTGGAAAGTTCCAGAAACTTGCAAGAAAGACTCGTCTCATGAAATTCCCACCCTAATTTTGGCGATTCTGAAGGATCAAATTAAGATTCAAATTTTTGAGCAACTTTTTGCAAGGTATTGAATTTAGCCTCTCCACCCTAATCTCTTGCATTATAATATGTAGGTTGACTTCACCACTATGTAGCAGTTTTCAGATGGAATTTAGAAAGTAGTTGTGACATTTTGAAGACCAGCACATTGTCTCTCCAAACAGGTTATTAGAGCATAAATGAGACAGACCACTCTTTACTCCTGTTGTATAACCTTTAACAGGCACGTAACCTGTAGCGGTTTGGTGTCCTGGCAGGGAATATTTTTTAAAACCAATATGTTATTAGTATCATTGCTTTGATCAATGTCAATATTTCAGTGACAACTCCAACTTGTTGCTAACACCTAGTCTGATATTATATTTGTATGCTTGAGTTGCTCAAGACAGCTTCAATGAGCTAACCCGAGCAGGTATGTTCTTGGAAAACAAATACACTTCACATCTCAAGAACCCAATGACAGACAACAAAAAATCATTAGGAAAAAATATGTCCCAATATTTCTAAAATAAAGTGGCTATAAGAGAGAGATTTCTGATACGTCATGTTTGAATAAATACAATTTGTACAAAGGTTGCATCTATCCCCAACTAAAGAAACTATTTCATTTCTTTTAAAAAATACAAAGCCCACCTTACCACTATATTACTCCAGTTTTATGCTGGTATAACTGCAGTTACACTGGAGTGTAACACAGGGCCATATAGTACTGTTAGAAGTACAGACAAGTATACTATAACAAATACTTCAAAAATTGTGTTGCTAAAATGTACTGCTATAACAAACATGCTTTCCTGTGGCAAAAGCTTGGACTTGAGCAAACAGGTCTCCAGAGCCTGTGGGCTTTTCCCCATATGCTCGGTGGATTGTTTTTCCACTCCCATGGTAAGTAAGAAAACATTGAGTAGGACAAGGAAAGATCCAGTGAAGAGTAAGCCTGGGGTAAAACAGTGCAAATTCCAGCTCTTGTAATGTTTTAGGAATGCTGAAGCTAAGAGCACTTATTTTATTTAAGAAGAGGATCATTGGTCAGGCTCACTAGTGCAGAAAGGTTCAAATTATGTCTCCTTGCCCCAGCAAGCGCACTTGTGAGAGATTCCTTTGATTACCTTCAGTTTTCACCACTGCCTTCCATTAGGAGAGAAGCAACTTTAATTTCTTGGCCAAAGGTCCATAGCAACCTTGTTGGAGGAAATTGCTGAGGGGATTCATTGAAACAGTACATCCTCCAACTAATCTGTCTTTGCAATCTTCCCTGTGAGCATCGCCACCCTCACCCCCTGTGGTCCCCCACAGTGAAATTGAGGTTGTTGTCACTTTGTATCACTGTTCCTTAGTGGATTTTTCTGCAGCATGCGAACAGAAACACCTACATGAATGGCTTCTGACACACCCTTTCACAGGGTACAGAGTGAGCTCCCCTTCCCAGACTGGTCTAGATCCCTTGGCTGATACAAATAATGGCCTGACCCTCATCAACTTGTTCTGCCCCTTTGGGGCGCTTACTCACCTCCATTTGGACTGGAGTCACTTGGTTTTTATGCATTGAGAGTGCAAGGATCAGGACAGTGTCTGGGCCTTGTGCAGACACCCAGGACTAGCCACAGTCGAGCTCTTTGTAAATTTCCTTAACAACATCTGGTTTCTCCTAAACGGTTTCATCAGTTGTGTGTTACTAGGTGCAGAATCCAACTTAGTCACTGGAGCATTAGACTTTCAATTGTCTGCCCCTTACTGCAGCATATTGAACCTTATCAGCAGGGATTATCATTCATCAAAATATTTATTCCAAACTGAAAAGAGTGACCAAATAAACAGACTAGACATCTTCTAACATTACATCTGCTAATGACATTTATTGATCTGAGCTACTGTCTCCGTATGTTCTGGGTTCATTGCTAAGTGTTAATCTAGCCTGTCCTGAAAAGGGAGAAACAATGTTCTAAAAGCCTTTGCTAAGCAACTGCATAAAAAAAGGGGGGCGGGGGGGCTGATCTGTGTGATTCTATTGCTGTACAAAGACACTCATTTATCAGGGCACTGTATCATAGTGCATTCTTCACTTCTATGCCAATGACATATATATAAAGTACCGCCTCCCCCGAAATACACAACCCTACATTAAAAATATTGCAAAATCAAGCACTCATAAATTAGGAAATGCAAGAAGGTTTACACAGATTCTAAGGCCAGAAGGGGGCATTGTGAATGCGTAGTTTAACCTCCCACATAACACAAGTTACGGTTTTTCACCCAGTCATTCCTCCATTGAACTGTGGTTGAGCTGGACTATGTACTTTACAGAGACATCAATCTTGATTTGAAGATCTCAGTTGATACAGAATCCAACATGTTCCTTGGTAAATTGCTCCAATGGGTAATTACCTTCACTGTTAAACATCTGCACTTTAGCTCTAGCCTGAATGTATGTAATATCAGCTTCCAACCATTGAGTCTTACTATGCCTTTGTCTGCACAGGGAGCTAACTATTTCCACAGTTTGGGCCTTAGCCACACTGGAGATTGCCTCTCTCCTCATGT